GTAATGCTGGGCTGCTTGAAGAGTTTGGAAGTGTCTCTGTGGGCTCATCAAGAGAGGCCTGTCTCTGCTTTCTGAGGTGTGCAACTCAGCCTGGAGAAGGAAAAGGGGATTTACTAGAATTGTAGAAGGGATTTTGCTGAGTTCTCTAGTTCTGGCATGTTTGTCTGATACATGCAGGGAATGAGGGTGGATTTGACGGCCAAAGTGAGGCCTTGACTCCTTACTGCGGCGTGGCTTACTGAGAAAAGCTGAGCTTTGGCCCAAGACAGGAGGACTGGAGTTTGAAACAACTGTCTTTTCCAGTATGGCCTTTTGCTTTCAAAGTAGGTGTGGGGCATTTGGGTCAGCATGCGCTGGGACAGGAACACAACCCTTAGTCCTGGTAGTTCAGGAGCATTTCCATGTTGCCAATTTTCCAATAAGAGGAACAGCAGTGTTCATTCCCTAGTGAAGAGGTAAGAGAACACGTGAACTTTAACAAGTTTTAGGCCAAACTTATTTTAGAAATGCTGCTAGGAAAATCACTGCAGTGTTTTGGAGTTGCCATGCGGAAGTCTTACGGAGAGAAAACAAGTAATACATGTTAAAACACTTGTGGATACCATGCTTTTGACAGGAGTGTGGATTTATATAAAGCATTAAATGGTGTAGGTGCACACACCATACAGAGTTAAACACAGGACCAGCAGCTCACATTGTGCTCACTACGTATGTCTACAGATATCTGAATGAGTGAGTGTCTATGGGCTGAAACTTCATGTCTTGTGACTTTCGCTCTGCCCCTTGGGAAGTCTTCACTCCTTTTGTTTTCATCCCTTTCCAGCTTCAGTGCATGCAGCTCCCATCTCCTGGCATAGCAGCTCTGCTGAACAACATTCCAGTGCTGTGATTTCATGGTACCAGGCAGCCCTCCCCTGCCATGCTGCTCTGCTGCCTGCTGCTTCTCATGGGGTGAACAAACAGTGAATGAAACTCTTTCCAAAGGAGCAATGTTCTCTGTATATTTTTAGTGCTAGAAATTCAAGATTCATTTAATGGTGGGTATTTTTGTATTTTTTAATATAGACTTCTGCTAACGCAATTTGCTGAACATCTCATGTTTTATGTTGTTGAAGAGAATCAAAGGAGTTAAAGATGAAAGACTTCTAGTCAACTGGTCCCTCAGCTGGGAGCCAGTGTGGATTTGTTCTTTGTAGTGATTTGCTAGTGCAGCCTAGCTCAGTTTTTATTATTGGATTTACTTGTTTCTGTAAGTTCCATACTTTAAGTTAAGAAATTGCTGAGCTTTGACTTGCTATAATGCTGCTACTGTTTGATTCTCACACTTGACTGATTATTTATTGCCCATACACTGAACAAACCTTTTATAAGTGGTTGTTTACCATTTGAACACAGAGGCACCATTAAAGATGCTGTGCTTGAGTTCACAGGTAGACTGTTTCCTGGGTAGACAGAAAACTTTGTTCTCTGTTTATTTTAAATTGCGTCCATTTTACATTGTGCATGGATGTTTTCTTTCCAACTTTTAGTGTGTCAGCAAATATTAACTTATAGTTTTACCCATCCTTAGTTAGCTCATCGTCACCCTCCAAATATTTTGAGTTAAGGTAGAACTTGAACGTGCAAGGCATACTGAGACACCAATGTTTTAGATTTGCTTAGTGAAAAATGATTTCAGACTGTCTGTTAAAATGTCTCTGTTGCATTTGTACCATCCATTTGAGAATATTATACTCCACGCAGGGGACAGTTTTGCCAATACAACTGATACGTTTGTAGTGACTTAATCTACAAAGTGGGCAGTGATCTGGGAAGATCCTGACCATGTTTTGGGAAGCATATGTTGCGGGCACTGAGGCAACAAGAGCTCAGAGACTGAAAGGCTTTGGGCCTGAGGAGGTTTGTGGGTAGAGCTGTCCTCCACAGTTTTAAAGTGCCAGCTGTGTTTGAGTCAAGGCACTGGCACATAAGCAGACCTGTGCGGAGTGCATCCCAGCTTTCTGGTACAACAGACACTTACCCCAAGGGGTAGAGTTGTTTGTGCTCTAGAGCAGCATGAGCTTCAGAGTCCCAAGGGAAATGAAGCAATAAGAAGGGGACATTTCACATGATACTGTCTTTGTCTATGCTACAGTCAAAAGATGTGCACGTTTCTGCACCATCTTTTAACACAGTCATCTAAATGTACTTTATTTGGTGCATGTCCACAGTAGATTTCTACAATAAAGTTTCTTCAGTATTCTAACAGTGCATCTTGGAATCATCCTTTGTAAAGTCAATGTGTTCAAAGCAGTAGTAGCCTCCTTACTCAGTGCCTCCTTACTGTCTTGATGTGCTGTGCATTTGGGCAGCAGGGCATGGGAAAGAGAGCAGGAGAATAAAATACTAGGAGAACATGGGAGGTTCAAGGCTATGTGGAGAAGAGAATGAGAGGGGCTGTGGGCAGCTGTAGCTTGTGTAGAATAGTGTGGTTAAACAGGCATATAAATGTGGAAAGCAAGCAGTACTGTAGATAGAACGGAAAGAGGGAGGGAGCATCAAGATTTGAGCTGAATGAGTGGGGACAGGAACATGAGAATAGGAAATGTGCTCTGAGAAACAGCTAGTTGTTCCGAGATCCCTGTGGGTCCAGAACACTATCTCAGTAATCATCTGTTTATATCTTGTGTTCTTTTCTGACCTCTTATTCTCTTAGTGAAGAACTGGAATATGGGAAGCAAAAGACAAATTTTATGCCTGTTTAATACCTGTTGCATTGCTTCACAACTGCTCTATATCCTTAACATCATAGGATATGTTGTTTTACCCATCCTTAGTTAGCTCATCGTCACCCTCCAAATATTTTGAGTTAAGGTAGAACTTGAATGTGCAAGGTATACTGAGACACCAATGTTTTAGATTTGCTTAGTGAAAAATGATTTCAGACTGTCTGTTAAAATGTCTCTGTTGCATTTGTACCATCTGAACACTAGTGAATCTTGAGTTTCTGGTAAGTTTCATTTCATTTATGCATGTTGGTTTCTTGCTCTAGGTGAGCATCTGGCCTCACTTGGCCAAGAAGAAGTTACCTGCAGTCCTTGGGCCAGGTCATAGCTTCTGCCAATGGTGATAAATGTGCTGCTCTGGGTTCCTAAGTAAACAAGAAGTGTAAGGATTGCATATTTTGTAGTGTGGAGAAAAGGAGTATGGTGGTCAAGGACCGCAACACAAGAGCTGGGAGTTAGAATTGCTGTTGGAGGAAATAGTGTGATTTTTTTCACTGCACTGACTACCTGACAGCTACAAGGCTGGAGGTCCTCCAAGAGTACCTAGAAACTGACTTAGAAATACACCTAGAAGTCAAGCTGTTATTTGGGATGGTGTGGGAAGGTTATTGCCTGGATTTAAATGTGTGGGCACTTATGAGAGAAATTAGCATGGCTGCCAGCCCAAACTTCCTCTTACCTGTCAGCACAAACACTAATACATTGGATAAGAAAACTGTCTTGATTTGAAAAATTGGCTTACTTTTAAAGCAGGGAGAAATTTTCAGCAAATTCTGAAGGAAATTGACCAGGCTTTTCTGAACTATAAATCATGTTTTTAAAAAGTTCTACTTTGCAACACTTTCTCAGTCATTTTTCTTGAGTCTGTCTGAGTCAAAAAGAATTAAGGGAATGCAATCAATTTGGAGTCCTGTTTTTAATAGTTAAAAATACTGATACTTGTCCTTAACTCTTACTGCCATTTTATGTGGTTTCATGGTTGAATTACTACTTTTTTTTTCTCTTGTCACTCCCCCAAATCCCCTGGCCAATACATTTATAACAGATCCACAGGATTGGAAACAGATTATATCAATAAATAAATAATCTATTTTTTAATAGATGTTTCTTATAAAATTAATCAGGAAAAAAATGATGCAGCCAGAAGTACAATGAAATTGATGTTCCCATTGCACACCTGAGTCTGACAATTCGTATTGTACAGCTTTGTAACTGGGACTGCCTGTTGAGGTTGCTGAGACCCTCATGTATAAGTTGAGCAGTCTTGCATACTCTTATAACTTGGCACGTTGCAAGCATTCTCTTATAAAACATTGCAGAATAACTTTCTGAATATGGTGGAATTCTTTGGAAAGGTCAGGAGGTAATTGATCATACACTGACAGCTTAGGGCTCTGAGAAATGGTCAGATGGAGTGCAAAGATGCAGGAAAACAAACTTTCCAAGATGGTAACTGTCATTTAGCCAAGCGATACGTTTTTTTTTTTTAAAGCTTTTTAATCTCTGTTCACAACCTCAGCTTCGTAATCTTTTTTTCTTAATTTCTTTCTTTCTTTTTTTCTGTGAACTCCCTTCAGATTTTTTTGTTCATTTTTTACTGGTACTGGTGTATTCATGTGATCCTAAGCCATGGTAATGTTTCTTTACAGAACCCTTTAGAAACTCACCTGCTGCCAAGATGGTTAGTTTCAAGACTTTGATGGTCTTGACTTCTGAGTCAAGAAGTAGTTTTCTTTAAGGAACCACTCCAGACATTCTTTGTAGCTAGCATAAGGTTGCAGTGTTCATGGGAGTTAAGATGGCAATCAACTTGGATATTATATATGTTTATGATAAAAATGTTCTCTTTGTTATGATCTTAAGTATCAGTATCAGAGTGGACAGTGTATTAAAGAGAAATGCAAAACAAAAAAAAAGTGAAAAAAGGATGAATATACCACTTGATTTCTGAAACCTAGTATTCACCAATCTTGTTTATAGCTGTGTTTGTTTGCATATATAGTCTGATTTCTTAAAATTGTGCTAGTTGTCCATCTCTGGGGTAAGATAGAGTATTTTGACTGACTTATTGCTCTTACTTTTATGCATCCCTAGATAGGACTTTCTAGTACATTGGGAAGCAGAAAGAAGGGACAAGTGTAAGCAAGGCTTTATTAATGAGTTAAAATATAAAAGAGCCTTTAAATATGTATATATATTTATGCTTCTGTTAATTTTACCACTACTTTCTAACAGAATGTGGTAATGGATCGGATTTTCTCTGGTATCCAGCCAACTGGGACACCTCATCTTGGTAACTACCTTGGAGCTATTCAGAACTGGGTGAATCTGCAGGAAAAGTACAATTCAGTGTTATACAGCATTATGGACCTGCACTCTCTCACCATGCCCAAGGAGCCAGCTGTCCTTCGACAAAACGTACTGGACACCACTGCTGCCATCCTTGCCTGTGGGATTGACCCAAGGAAGTGCTTCCTGTTCCGACAGTCACTGGTTAGTGCTCGTTATGTTAAAACTGTTTCTGATTAAGTGGCTTTCCAGATATGTTAATGAATGAACATAGCATGATTACCAAATTCCTCTTTCTTGTCTGCGTTCATGGTCCTAGAAAATGTTAGCTGAAACTATGATCAGGAAGTCTATTTGGAGAGAAGTATGTTTTAAATTTCTCAGTCAAAGTATGATGCTTGTGCTTGTGTGATGGATACCAGGTGCCCACCACAGCGTTCTCTCATTCCTCTTCCTCCCAGCTGCTGCTACACAACACTGAGTTTTCTCCTTTCTTAAGTCTGCTTGTCTAGAGACACACACAGTGTCACTTATGGCTCAGCTTTCGATATTTTGCTCAAGTTCCTTTTGGAGCAACTGGAGCTGGCTCTGATCTGATGTGGGGCAGCTACAGGGCTTGGCTAATAGAGGCCATCCCTGCAGCCCCACTGACACCAAAACTGTGCCATGTAAAACCAGTACAACACATTATGAATAACACACTGAAAAGACCAGTTAAGCATTAATTTAGCTCCATAGGTTTCACTTTGGTCACAAAAGGTTAATGCTTAAATGCATAAATATAATCTGTACAACCGTCAGGGCAAGTAAAACACTCTTCTGTTTTTATACTGGCATTTACCACTCAATCTGCTAGCAGCACAATATCTACTATGAGTGGTTGGCATGGAATGCTTTGTGTCAGTTCCACATCATAAACTGTAGGAAGTTGAGTTGCTTTTTTCCCCCCACTTTTGATGTAACCTCCTTTTCATACGCATCTTTTTTTCAACCTGATCTAGGTAATTCCTGGTGAAATACTTGCTTCTTCATCTAATCACCCCATGGAGTACTGAACTTACGTTCTTTCTTGGTACATGTCAGCTTAATCTATCACATGCTGTGTTTTCCTGGAACATAACTTAATTTCTTGCCCTGTTAACTTTCCGTAAACTGGCAAACTTCTGCAGTTTCCCACAGAGGCAGGCAAGTCATAGCTTCTGCTGTGCTGAAGACATCTTTAAACAGACATCCAACTTGCAATAGTACTGCAAAGGTGATGTCTGAATTTTATCAATGAGAGATGAAACCCAGCCATTCCATTTCTCCTTTGAACATGGTTCTTTACCAACAGTTTTCTGATGTTGTTAAAGTGCAAATGATAATCATGACTCCATCTCCTTGATGGATTTTGAATTGATGAAGACAGGTTCACTTCCTGCTTTGCCTTTTCCTTTGTATTAGAAAATAAATCCCAGTACATTAACACAGAATTCCAATAGAGATATGATTAATTCAACCTTTGTTCAAATCTGTTTGTCACTTTAAATTAAAAGTTTGAGTTTTAACTTGTCTATAATCTGTCTTAATCTCATCCACTTTGATGCTGACATTAACTGGAATTTCAGTATGAGTTACAAGCCAGTAAATAGTACAGTAAAACCAGTCTGGATTGTTTTTTCTTTTTTCTTTTTTTTTTTTTTGAAAGCAGCTGAACAATTCCTTTAGTTATTGAACTAACTGATCAGTAACTAAATACACAATTGAGGACTGTACAATGTGAAAGTGAGAAGAGAAATGATTTGCAGATTGTGGTTAGAGAGGAATGAAAAAAGGTTTATAAAACTGAAGATGGTATGGAGAAAATAAGTAAGGAAAAACCTTTTTATCCACTGAGGCATATAAACTAACATATCAAACTGAAGTTATAAATACAATAATGAACAGGTGTCAAAATAAGTGAACATCTACTCAATTCAGCACAAGCATAAAAATATTGCATTTCTTGAAGCATGTAATTGGGCTGTGGGACTTCTTGGCACAGGACACAGTGCAGTCTGAAATGTATTCAGGAAAGGACTGAATGAATTAACTTGAAAAATCTGTTGGGCTCTGTTACGTACCTGAAGTGCCACTTCTATAGAAAGTGCCACCAAAGTTGATCCTGTTTTATGTGTTGGTTGGTCTTTGTTAAATGTACTACTGTTTGTCCAGATATGTTTTTTCTTGTTATGTAATGCTTCAGATTAAATATTTGCTTTCTTATGGTTTGATGTTTTGAACCATGTTCTTACTAGTACCACAAGTGTCTCAGTACAGCTTTCAGAAGTGGCTGATTTTTGCAGATTTTTGTAACCTTTTTGTCATACTGCAAACAGCGAGACTATGGCCAGTTGTTCATGAATCCAGACCATTCTGTTAGGTTCAGGCTGCAGTGAAGTTGTCTTCCCAAAAACAACTCTTGAAGCTGTATGAGGGGGTCAGGTATACACAGAGATGCGTGTTACAATTGCATTAACAGGACGAGACATGGCTCTGGAAGCAATTAAAAGGAATATCTGCATGTAGCTGCTGATGCGAGGAAAGGAGACAGGAACGTTGCTGATGTGATAATTGCATTAGTATGATAAAGAAATAGTAAGTTATGGAATGACATAATACTAAAATGATTATTCTGCTGCATAAAGTTGTGAGATAGGTTGTAGCTATTGCTAATTAAGAGTTTATTGCTTGACTTTTTGATTAGTAATTACTACTTTAAAAACAAGGAAAGAAAAATGATCTATCTTTTTCAGCAGCTGTAGCAGTCCCTAAAGATGGTCTAAAAAAGACCCAGTTTTGTTAACAAGTATTTGGCCTAGGTGTAAAAACAAAATGACCAAAACTGACATGGCTGTGCTTTCAGAGGACAGCAAAAAGAAAAAAAAAAAAAAAAAAGAAAGAAACACGTCTGCAAATAGAGAGCTGCTTAACATGATTGGCAGTGTGGCTTTCTGTTTTATCAGTTCAATTCAGTATCAAAAAGAGTTCTCAGTAGATTAGCTGGCCACAGTTCTTGCTGTACTTTCTGTTCTATCTTGAAAATTGCACTTCTGTAGATCACAAAGTGCTACCACAGTTACTTCTGATTAAAACTTGAGTTCATTTTTCAATAAGCCCCATGCAATTATGTGATTATGAAATGCATACTTGGTTTTAATCACTAAAACAAGCTACAAGTAATGACTGGAAGCGCCGTTTTTTATTAGCATTAAGAGCAGAATGAAAATCTTGCACTGCAAAAATATGGCAGTAAGGGCAAGCTTCTATTAAGAGAATTGATCATACAGTTACTATTGCAAATTATCCTGCATCCTTTTATGTTCTCTGGATCAAACTGGACAGGAATGGTCTATTGCTTCTGAAGAGAGTTTTTTGTTTTAGCTTACTCTTTCTTTTCTTTCTCTTGCTTCTTTTGTTGCTTCCCAGGAATATGTTTGCCATATGTGGAAAAAAATATTGATTATCTTGCTTCTCCATAAGCTTGTGCATTTGGTAAGGTTGCACTGTCAGTAGCCTTTTATTTACAGCATAGTTTGTGCAGATCAAATCTCTAATCCAGAGCTATCTGAAATATCTCTAAAGTTTTTCTGTATTTTATCATAATTTCCAACCCAAGCAGGAGGCAAAAGGCTGAACAATATTAAACACAAATTGACTATTGGGGAAAAAATAGTATAAGGAGAAGAGAGAGCTCTCAATTTTACAGCAGATCTGAAAGGTACTGCTATGGTGAGGTAACAGATTACTTCTGAGCCCCAGAACTGATTTCTGTAATGTCCATGCTTTGCAAGTAAGTAAGAGGAATGATCAGCTGATTTTTATATTACTTTGAAGGCATATGGCATCTGTTCTTGTTTGTCATGTATACAGCTCAGTTATCTCCAAATGAAAATTAGCTTCAGGATTTTGTAAATTACTGTTTTTCATGACATACATAAACAGAAACTAAATGGCTGTCTGAATATTGGTCTATGTATACGTACATATCTGTTCCCTAAATGCCTCCTACATTTTATGCTAATTTGATCTCCATCTTTTGGAAGCAGTGGCTAGAATGAACAGGTGATGAGAACTTGAAAGTACTTAGAAACTATAAAGATGATGGTGAATATTTAGGAATGTGTTTGGAGCTGTGCTATCTGTGAAAAGTTATAAGCTAGCACATCTAGTTGAAATGTCAAAGAAAACATAATTGTGGCATATGTTGAACACTAGAATGGCCTCCCAGTGAGCAAAGCATCTTCATTATTGTTGTTGGATTTTTTTGTTAATTACATTTTCCTAGGTGGGAAGACAAGTCATGGAAGAGGGACAATTTCTGTAAAAATTAAATTGCATATTTCAAAATTACAAATTTTGATTCGGACCACTGCTGCCAGATATATGAAAGCCTCTTTCCTCTTTAAGAAAGCAATGTCAGGATAAATATTGAGTAGCTGCCTTTGCCTACCAGGCATGGAAGAGAAGTAACAGAATAATGACTTATGCAACATATCCCAAGAATACTATAAAAAAAGAAGAAATTTATTCCTTAAATTGTACCATAACTGATAAAAGCTGTAACAGTCTTCTTTCATAAAACATAGAATGTTTTAATAAAAACAAAAAGCATAGTGAGGGGAAGAAAAAAAGAAGACAGTAAGCAATCTGCACACATGGTAAGGTTGTATGGTATAATCCATTTACTCTGATTTCTGGTGGATACCATACACATTTAAGTTCTTACCCATAACCATCTTGTGTCTCATCTGCTTCACAGTCAAAACAATTTTAGAAACTGCTGTTGCTTTAATGTGGTCTCAGACTATTCTTCCTGTCCACCTACCTATCCTCATCAGCACATGCTAAATATCCCAAGGGAAGCTAAAATTCCATCAGAGTTGATTTAGCAGGCAGAAGTTGATATGCTGCCCTAGTGCTTCTCTGAGAAGTCCTTTGAGTTTCTAGACAACGTAACATTCAATTTCTGGGCGGAAAATTGCAGTTTTGGATGGGGTGATTTATTTTTCTAGTATAACAAACTGAGTATTCTTGCAATATGCAAGCAAATTGAAATAGTAACTCTGGGAGGTGGGAATTTGCCAATTTGTCTTAGCCTGAACTCCAAAAGTCAAAATATGGCAGTTTAAATGTGTGCGCTAACTGTTGTACTGCTATTATTTTCCAGAAACATCCATCTGCTT